AGATGATGGGAAAGGAAATGCAACTCCTCTCGCTCTTTACATATCAGTAGAAAATGAGAAATATACAAATATTATACTTTCATGTAAACTGATTTGTCGAGAAACACGTGTAAAAAGAAAAAAAAAACACTATTACTCTCTGAATTTTGAAAGCACGCACACCATGGTGATAGAACATAGCAACGGTCAAAATTGCTTGACTACGCGTGATATTTCAACAAAAATGTTGTCCGCGCAGAATTTGTGCGCAAATGGTTCATTGTTATATATTTTACAGTACAATAGTCAGTTTAATATAATAAATATTATTATTATTCTGCAATGCCTCGGTTGGCTATGGTTTTCTTACGGTGAAAATTTTCAGCATTACCCTCACTAACATACAATATTTATATAATATCTCATAGAGACAAAAAGGTAATTTGAATTGCATATCAGAATACATGTATAAGAAAAAACCGAGAGAAATCTTTCATTTATACATATACATCAATGGAAACTAAAAAGGAATCGAATTTCTTAACAGTTGTTGAACAAGTGTCATGAGAGCTTTCTTTTGATGAAAAATGAAGATAACGAACAATTTTCAAGGTCGAGTGCATTGGAACTATATAGATTGGGAGAAGAGCAAACACGAACCTCTAAAAACATAAAAGATGGGAACGGGGACAATGGAGGAGTAAGCATTTTCTGTCGACCGGTCATATTCACCATGTGCTCTTGATTGGGCAAACGGAATCCGTAGACAATTTAATGTGAAAATAATGTCCTAAAAATTAGTATGAAAAATGTCAGTCAAGATTTGATTTAACGATAGATTGTATAAACAAAATCATTGAATTAACCATAGAGTTTGCAAAATGTTGACTTTTAACAGGACTATTGATATCCTTGTATGATAAATTTATTTGTCAATAGCTTGTCTTGTTTTTTTAGAAATTGTTCGTACGTAGAACATTCTCTTATGTATCGAATCAAATGGGGGACATAAACTCCATACGCAGGTAATAATAAGGAAAGTTGACGATAGGGAAGTTTTTCATAAAGTTTTGTTGTAAGTTTGCAATTAATGTCTTTCTCTAGTAAAATATTTAAAAATGAAACAGTTGTCTCTGTATCTGTGGTGTTTCATTTTATTTTGAGATCAAGGAGATATATCAAAGCAACGTAGGAATGTTTGTTTGTTTAGTTATTGTTTAACGTCCCTCTCGAGAATTGTTCACTTATATGGAGACGCCATAACTTGCCGGTGAAGAGCAACAAGTTTTGACCTATACTCGGCACTCAGGGCCATTGAGTAGTGAGGAATCTTTTTCGTGCCAGCACCTAAAGCGTAGGAATGAAAATGAATATTATTGATTAATAAAACGATCTATTGATTTAAATGTCGAATTGAAGGCCACAGCTGGAAACATTTTTCAAGTAGAAGTTTTCTGAATGAATTTTGTTTCATATAATTACAAAAATAGGTCTACTAATAACGGGGCGCAATAAGTACCCATGAGAATTCCAACATATTTTGAAAGACGATCTACAAAAACGATATAGATAATATATTGATGAGGAGTAAAGTAAGAGGCTTGGGAGAACGTTAACTTGAACCCGCTATGTATCTTCTTTTTTTTGGTAAGGATTTCTATGTAGTTTACAAATCCAATATAGGTACAGAGAGAACGATAATAGGTATTTATGCCTGATGTTTAATCAATTTTATTGATTTGAAAAAAAAATACATATTTTAACCTTACCCAACATAGCTATGGTAATTCAAATTCAAATTTGATTGGTAGGAATATCAGAATTTTTTTTTTTTTTTTTTTTTTTTTTTTTTTTTTTGAAAATCAAATGTGATTTTGAAATATTTTCCCATTCAAAAGGGACTATGAATATAAGTTGGATTACCTCTTCCAGAAGTTTACCAAGTTCCTCTAAAATACTATTATAATAATGGGCCTTACAAGCAAAGACAATGTCGTTACCTGCTTTGCAAGGTGGGATCAGTATATATTGATCATGTAATCTATGTTATTCTTTTTTTTCACTTCTGAATTATTGAAGACAGAAGGATATATAATTTGTATATTGTTCCTCAACCGTTTAATCAAGATTTCAACATCCATTCGATGCTATTTATATTTGAAAAGTTTCAAAGTTTTCTTTTTTATGTTTGGCATATAGGAGGATTATGGTCAACAGGGGATGCGTACTCCTCCTAGGCACCTGATCCCAACCCTGGAATTTCCAGGGGTCCGTGTTCAATGCCCTGTAGAGTTTTCAGCGTCCCCTCACACGTATGCAGCATGGGGGGGAGGGGGTAACTGATATGAAGGTTGATGCACTAGTCATTGGACAAAGGGGGATAACTGAGTATTGCACCGTCTTCAATAAAACCATCTAATTCATATACAAATTGGATGCAAGTAATAATGAAAAGGTTAAATGCAATCATCGATAAATTTTTGCATAAAATTTGAACTTCAATATTTATTTGAAAGATAGTGGTTTACAAGACTGTACTCTTTGTGATTAAGAATGTTAATAATATTTTTAGCTCTTTTGTTGGAAAATTTAACTTTGAGGAATAGATGGGTGACTTAATCAGTATTCTCTTCCGCAAAACTTGGTGGTTTAAAATACCAGTGATAAGTAATAACTATAATCACATATCCCAGCCTATATTTTGGTGTCGAAGACTCTTCTTGGCCTTTTGAAATAGACAATATAAAATTTTTAAAGGGACAGAGTAAAGGTTGGTGCGGATATGATAAAGTCCTGACTGTTAACTTACATGAAATAGAAGTGAATCAAAAGAGACATTGTGCATAATATGTTTATTGTTAGACGAATGTCCATGACTACGCTTACGTCTCTGTGTATTGCTAGAAAGTCCCATCATATTCTCATTGCTAAACTGTGGACTTGAAAAATTCCTAACGCTATCGACATTGTCATTGCAATCATGTTGTCCCTAATTCAGTATTTTACTCGTTGTATGCGAACAGGTGTACTCAGTGTTGGGCTATTAGTATGATAGTAAATCTTTTTTAGATTTCTTAATTTCATTGACAAAACTGACTGATCAGGTAAATAAAAATGTTTGTAGAGAAGCAGCTGCCCCCGTTAATTGTTAATTTTAATCTTATGCCCCGATGATCTTTTATTAAGTGAACCCTAGGTTTCACCAACATAAATAAGCTCATAAAAGATAGATTCTTTTCTGTAGACAACATTAGAAGATTTGCGATTCAATTTTCCAGTGTTAGGGTTTTTGCAGGACATTTAAAAAGAGTTGAAAAAAAGTACTGGTCCTTCATTTTTGGGACGAAACAGGACCGAAAGTCTTTATTCTATAGCTCTTTAGTGATCAGTATTTTCTTATATACATTACTGAAGCAACACTGCTCATCTTGAAATCTGCTACGAAAAGTTATCAACATACGTTACCTCATAAAGGGGTGTCTGGGTTAAACTTGAAATTTTTGTGTCTTGAAATTCTTGAAAAGTAATATTGAACAAAAGATCAGAATAATGTTCTTAAAACAACTGACTGAAATCAACAATAAGAAATTCTTTGTATAATTGTTTATAACCAAATAGCGTAGTCAAAATCATAACATTTTATCAAAAATTGGACGGAAACTCATCCACTGCTCACATCGAGATCTCATGTAGTTATTTTTTTTTCTAACCGATTATATTACTGCTATTTCTTAAAACGGATCGACGGATTTGCATGAAACTTTTAGACCTGATATATAATCGACTTCTCCGAGGTTTTTTTTTTTGGGGGGGGGTCAATTGCGTCATTTCCGATCCTGAGATTTCTTTTGATTTTTTTGGAGGTTCGGTTTGTCCATGAGTGTGCTAGAAATCAGTCAAGATACCAAGTTAAAACTTTCAGCGATTACAGAAGTGTTTTAGATGTGTCATTAGATATCGCCATTAATCTAGTATGCAATAGACGATGGGGCTTGATAAGGCTCGAAAAAAGGCTCCGAAATCAGGATCAGAATTCTAAATATTTTACCCCTTCTTTCTCGAAATTGAGAGAAAGATGGAAGTCTGATCTAAAACTATCAAGAGCTTACCGTATTTATATAAAAAAAAAACCAAAAGTATATTTGAATATAAAAAATCAAAAGAAATGCAAATAAATAAGAAGATGAGGAAGAATAAGGACAAAGTTCTGCATGTTATAAGGTTCTTAGGACGGAAAAGAATAACCTCCATTATTATATACCCAACTGTTTGTCACTCAGTTTTACTGTTGAATTTATGCAATCATGTGACGGTGTGATCCGACGTTCCGGATCACCACACTGTGGTTTTCTGAATCCATATCACCCCTCTCTGAAACTGATGACGTAGTACACAGATAAATGACGTTTCTATTCTCGCGTATCAAAAAGTTCCTTTACAAAATGGACTGTTTAATGGATAAAAGTTATGTAATTGATCCAAAAAGCTTCCTTTTATTATATTTTGCTAGTTGGAAAGGGGTATATAATAAATTTATCATTATAACAGTAACTTGATCCGAAGAGTCGTATCACGTCAAGTTGACAGGCGCGGATCATCAGATCAAACGAGACGCGAAAAATACTGTTATAATAATATATATTTACCTTAAATAAATATTCAATTTTGTTGCATTGTCTAAATAATGATAGTTGTAAAAAAAATTTTATTATATAATATAATATATTATATAATATTATTATTATTATATAAATCATTGTTATAATTATTTATCATGAAATGGTATTCCTTGTACTATCTAACGCAGGTGATGTTTACGGAAATATAAATTTATGCTTACTTTTTTTTTATCTATAAAGAAGAGAAAAGTTTCAGTTACAATTATCATTACATGTATATGTTTATAGAGAGAAAAAAAAAGTTCTGCTTTCAGATATAACTTTTAACCCTGTAATTAGTGTTCTTTTAAGATAATTTTGTAATATCACTAAATCTAAGAATTCCTTTCACCATGTCTAGGTATGGATTGTCCTAATAGTACTCAACAAGACTCTGGAGAAGCAAATGAAGAACAGCAAATTTTGCAAAATGAAGGAAAGAAAAACTCAAATAAAAGAGTTTCATCAAACATATCTTCATCCTTAGCATCATCGTCCGAGTCACCATCATCAGAAATGGAGATACAGTCGTCTGATATGAATACTAGCCAACTGTATTCAATGTCCAGTGGCTCGTCAGGCTATTCAGATGTGCAGAGTTCATCGACGGACGCTGGAATTTCCAGGGATGAAATTGCTGATAAAAATGGCAACTGTATTCAACTTATCAATGGACTCGTCACGATGTCAATGGCAGATGCAAAACTATGGTACAAGTTTTTGAAAGTGGGAACAGAAATGATTATCAATAGAAATGGAAGGTCAATATAATTTTTCTTTTTTATTCTGTGTTTTAATCGAAGTATCAAAGTCATAATTTAATACATGTATACGACATTCCAATCTTGTATGCATAAATGTAATGTAATGATTGCAAAGTCAATTGATGAATGTTAAAGGTTGACTTAATTTCCCAAAGTTTGTGCATTTTGAACCATAATCAATGACGGGAATTTGTTTAACTGGATTATTTATAATGATAACAATCTAAACATTGCATGGTAAATGTCATCAAATCGGTGGTGCCATTTTAAATTTTGCAAGATTAAATAACACCCCCCCCCCCCAAAAAAAAAAAAACACCAAATATAAAACAACCCATGAAATCTTTTAAGTAAACTCTATGTTTTTTGGTTACCATTGCTTAAGGTTTTGAATTAACAACGTATGTATAAAAGACACTGAATTAGCTTTCAACCATTTTTAAGGTTTACCAAGAAGTTTTAAAGAATGCAATGTAAAGCACTATACAAAATAACTCGTAAGTTATACTAAAATTTAGCCATTTTTAAGCAAGTTATATTTTTCTTGATAAAGAATGCTGATTTCTTGATTTTACGACCTTGAAAGCGGTATTCACAACGATTTACTAACTGAATAAAGCTCCCATCCATATACGTAGACCTGCATTGAATAATCAATACAAATAACTCATTGAATTTAGTTATTCAACTGAGTTGGCAGGTATTGTCCACAGTGTTCCACAACTTTACAACGGTGGGTCAGCCGGTGTTAAGATGAATAATGACCTTCGTCGAATAATGCTCGGGGATCAGTTTACGACACCCTGTTAGATTATATAAAGGATTTTTTTCTAATTGGAGATAATTCTTAATGTTCTAATGTATTTGGTCAAGTAAAGTGTGTTGTAAAGGTAGTAAACTTTAAGTAAAATTTAAGGAATAATGACTCTCTTTCTAGATTTTATCCCAAAAATTGAAAATTCCCATCATTGATTTTCATCAATGATAACAATGACAGCTTAAGATTCAAATAGAAAAGAGTTTGAGGTAGGAAGTGGTGCTTACCTGTTCAGATAAATATCTTATGTCTAATTTAAATTATTAGGCATATATGGAAATAATATCAAGTATCTTATATGATAAATTCATATTCGAGAACATAATGAAGCGGTGTTGTTGTTTTTTTTTTTTTTTTTTTTTTTTTGTTTTGTTTTTTTTTTGAAGCAGAATATCACTTTGTTATCTATGCTAGTAAAGAAATGCATCCATCATCAAAACTTATCTTTCTTTAAAATGTTTTATGAAAAAATATACGTGTACCAATAATGATAATAATATAAATGGTGCAGGATAAATTACGTTAATATTTTATTTTTTAGACAAAGATAGAAATAATCAAATTTTTAACAGGTAAAAAACTGGATCAAATTTTTAGGTTAAATACTATGATGAACCTCAATAATGTTGGCCAAAGGAAAAAAAAGAAGTCAATGTTTGCATCACTGGAAGTTGACAAATACATATGATTACATGTATAAAGTAATTGATTATGTAAAGGTCTAAATAAGCAACACCTGAAAAATGAACTTTCAAATATGTTTGGATTATTTTCTTCTGATGCTTTCTCTTTATCAAAGGCTCATCATCACTTGAAAAATTAAAAAAATATACATATAAATTTATTACATTTTCAACAGTGAAATACTGTAATTTATTTTTTAATAAAAGTGATATTCGGACACAGTGTGAAAGGGTATCAAAATGGTATTCTCACAGTGTGAGAGAATATCAGAAGTGCGGCAAAACTCTCGATTTTCCTTCCATTCACGACGAATGTTTTTAAAAAAAAAACTCCCTTGCCTGTCATAAGATAGAGAGAGAATAAATGAACCATCTTGACAGAGAATAAAACAGCTAAAGTTTCTCCAAATATGTTGTTAGAAATCTATGTTTGCAACGTTTTTCAATCTCTCAATCGCTAAAGCTATGACGTCTCAACCGCTTAACTATGACCTCACAACCTATGACACTGTGTTACAAAAGACTGAGGCAACGGGAAAAGCAAGAAATATAATAAACAGAAAATGCAATGTTTTGTAAATGAATATGGAATGTATTTTATTATTTATTATATAAATACAAATATTTATTTTATAATTTATTAATTTATTATCATGCTTCGCACTCGTGAAAAAATCAAAAAATCCTGTCCCACTCATAAAATAAATTCCATATTCATCTACAAAACATTGAATATCCTCTATTATTATACCTCTACTGTTATTACTCTATATAAAATTAATACCATAAAACTGTCTATTTCCCTGAGAAGATACTTTTTCCCTCATCGGAGGACTACTCCCTGAAAATCGGAGCTACTCCCTGGGACTACTCCCTCATGAATATTTATTAATGATTTTAACCAATTAAAATGAACAATGGGCGGAGAGTTCAAGGAATCTCGAGTCTGTGACGTAATGTTATTAGCAATGTAACTATGACGTCAAAACATTTCGACATGCAATGTCAAAATCATACTGGAATTCTTGCAAAATGAAGACAACGATAATCCTTCGAAGTGTCAGTGAAATTATTTTATATTTTTTAATAATTTTATTTTCCTCGGTATTGATGCATTAGTTATCTTGCAATATTTTTAATCACATGCATTTGTGATTATTTTAAATGCCTCTATATTGTTTTTAAAAAAATGTCTGAGTCTCTAGTTTAATAAATCTCCTATGATTGTTTCGGTATAATAAAACAGTTATGGAATAGATACTCGGGAAATATCAAATTTATGGTTCCCCTCGGCAGGAAACTATTTCCCTCGGCGGCTTCGCCGCCTCGGGAAATAGTTTCCTCCCTTGGGGAACCATAAATTTGCTATTTCCCTCATACCCATTCCATAACTGTATATTAATAAATTAAAAAGCATGTGGGTAAATATGCACACTTGTGCTAGTTAGACCAAGTTGAATTGAATGCGTTATGAGATATTCGTATCAACCCTGGTGGTTGAGTGAATTGAATCTACCTTTCATACGGACTCAAGATAGGACAACCTTCCTCACTATTGTACGTTTGCGCATCACCTATAGAGTCGACGAGGCTACTGTGCGATAGTAATGACGCTATATTGCTATAATGGTGTCGCCATGCTGCTAAGAGTGATGGCGACGATGTAATGATTCGAAAATGCGATGATAGCACTCTATCATCTATCGCGTTATCTATATCGTACCATCTCGTCGTCACACTATCGCTCCATCGTATCATCGCATAGTCGCCCTATTGCATCATCCTCATCGTGGTTTTGCACCATCGAGTCGTGTCATCGCACTATTTTGTCATCACGTTAAGATCTAAACCCTGATGGTACTGTGGTTCTATAGTGAAGTATGTGGCACTATCTGGATTCCATACTTTCATGATAAATTGAAAAGTTCAATCTACGCTATATTATGATTTGAGAAAATTTATCCTTGTTGTTAAGAAGTTTATACAGGTACAGTATTGAGTTTTTCCCTCTTTACATATGTTAAACTGGAACCCAGATACACCCGTATTTTACTATTAAAAGATTTCAAAAGATATTTCCTTATTAATTACTATCTCTTTTTAATTTTGACCCCTATTTGGGCTTAACTGTTATGTCAAGAACATCAATTCAAATTGTAAATTAACAAAATATTAGTCTACTTTTACGTTCATTTGACAAATAAAAATTCCATGGTGTTCATGGTACTCTCCTATGTGTCCCTATATCTAAAACCTCAATTCTGGGTTATGGTCTTGAAGTGACCACATGAGCCACAATATTGGACTGCACTATATGAAGTAGCTTCCATATAAAACTCACGATAATATCCTTATTGTCATTCATTAGGGACGAGATTTTTAAAATTTAATTGCTAGAGATTATACTAAAGCTCTTCAACCCACCCGAATGTGGCACTACTCTGTTCTGACCCCAGGTCCAACATTTGAACCATGTCAAGAACATCGATTCAAATTGTAAATTAACAAAATATTAGTCTACTTTTACGTTCATTTGACAGATAAAAATTCCATGGTGTTCATGGTACTCTCCTATGTGTCCCTATATCTAAAACCTCAATTCTGGGTTATGGTCTTGAAGTGACCACATGAGCCACAATATTGGACTGCACTATATGAAGTAGCTTCCATATAAAACTCACGATAATATCCTTATTGTCATTCATTAGGGACGAGATTTTTAAAATTTAATTGCTAGAGATTATACTAAAGCTCTTCAACCCACCCGAATGTGGCACTACTCTGTTCTGACCCCAGGTCCAACATTTGAACCATGTTAAGAAGGGGGAAAGGGGTAAAGTATTTTCTGATATCTAGTAGAAATGTACATTTATAATTGTAAATTGTAATTATAATTGTAAAGGTCGTAATTTTTATACTTGAAAATTACACATAAATACATAAAGTAAATAGTTTCCTAAGATACACACTGAACAAATAACAATAAATATACATGTATGATACTTCAAAACATAATAAATAAATAAATATGTATCAGAATCAAAAACATACGCATATCATACAAATTTCGTTGAGTATTCTTTACTAAAACGTAGGTAACAAGTCACTTTTCTTTATTCCTTATATCCCTAAATGAAATTTTAAAAAAAATGAAAATCTTGCACATGCAACAGTCCCACTCCCACCTTCAGTGATTTAAAATCCGTTTCTTATTTTCCGTGGTACTCCACTCCATGATCACGTTTGACTGTTGATCGATTGTCTACAACAAAGCAAGTTTCAAAATTCTCTTAAGTGTTCTTTCTTTTTGTCTTCTTTCAACCATAGATCCGCTGAACATGTCATTACTGGTGATGTTAATACTGGTGATGTGCTATTTTTTCCGTTAGTTGAAAATGGCGAACTAAAAGCAATCATTTAAAAAGATACTAAATAAAGGAAGCCCCGAACTTTCAATTGGACAACTTCATTTCTATTATGAATTCTGTTAAAGATTT